TTTAACTTTGTAGGTGGAAGTACAAAGTAAACATGCAAAAAAAGTCAAATGCCCTTGACGAAAAAGGTAAAACAACGATGTCGGATGATTTTAAAGTTGGAGGAGAAAATGAGATGGAGTTTTTAAACGAAGTACAAAGATGAAGAACTAACCTTTCCAACAGGATTGTGTAATGTGTGAAGACGTGCATCACAGAGCTAGAGCAAGCCCAACATTTGTGGTTCAAAAGTGTATAAATTAGGGCTGACAGTTTAATGCGTCAATTAACTAGTTATGAAAAAATAACGCAATTAAAATGTTTTAACGCACTGGCCCCGCCCTCAGACCTGTACATCAGACCTTACATTTCATACAGTTGCCTGATGACAGATATGATGCAGGACAACAACTCTATAAATGCAGTTATGCCCTAAAATTCATGATACTGGGGCAAAAAATGACCCTGTACGAGTTTTTTGTATCATATTTATATCATATGATAAGCAATACCATATGAGCAGCAAGAGCAATATCACACGAATGCTGTTTTATATATCACGCGTTTAAATATGACTTTATATAACAGTTCAGTAAATAAGTAGTTGATATTGTGTTTTTTTAAACACAATATTGTCTGTTTTGCTCAATTTTGCCGAGGAAAATATTACCTTTAAAGCCGCCGCAGAACTGTTATGCATCTGTGAGCAGCACATCGGGGTTTAGTTTCTGAATGAATCCGCGTTTTGAACAAATCCAATGATTCAATGAATAGCCTAATCATAAACTGAGCTGTTTACTTCAATCAGGTGTTTGAACGAATGAATGAATGAACGAACAACTGAATGAACGAACGAATGAATGAATGAACAAACGAATGAATGAATGAACGAACGAACAACTGAACGAACGAACGAATGAACGACTGAATGAATGAACGAATGAATGAATGAACGAACAACTGAATGAACGAACGAATGAATGAATGAACAAACGAATGAATGAATGAACGAACGAACAACTGAACGAACGAACGAATGAACGACTGAATGAATGAACGAATGAATGAATGAACGAACAACTGAATGAACGAACGAATGAATGAATGAACAAACGAATGAATGAATGAACGAACGAACAACTGAACGAACGAACGAATGAACGAACGAACGAATGAACGACTGAATGAATGAACGAATGAATGAATGAACGAACGAATGAATGAACGAACGAACAAACGAATGAATGAATGAATGAACGAACGAACGAACGAATGAACGAATGAATGAACGTATAAAGACATTTACCGCCACCTGCTGGCAGTTTAAGTTTCTTATTTAGAACATTGTTTCATTAAAAAAAGAAAAGAAGACTGTTGGCAACTAAGCTGGTAATTAAGACTTTCATTGTATGAACAAAAAATACTGAGATGTTTCTCAAATTATCTTCTTTTATGTTCCATAGTTTATGTTAGGCCATTGTAGCCTAAATGTTTGTGTAATAATAATAATTATTTTTTTTTTACAAATAATTTTTTTTTTTTTTTTTTATCAAATAAAATATTTATTTCTAAAGCTACTATTTGTAATGTCTACTTGATACTTGCTCGTTTAACGCAATAATGGCCTTAAATAATCTTCTGTTGATAATTTCACAGCTAAATTTAATTTGCGATTCATTAGATTAATTAATCGACACATCATGTAATTAATTAGATCAAACATTTTAATCGTTATAAATATTACCTAGTATAAATTATTAAATTTTTTCAGAAAATGAGCAATGGTTTTGCTAGATAAGACCCTTATTCCTCGGCTGGGGTCGTGTAGAGCTCTTTGAAGCTGCACTGAAACTGCATTTTTAACCTTCAATCCGTTGAGCACCACTGAAGTCCACTATATGGAGAAGAATCCTGCAATGCTTTCCTCAAAAAACCTAATTTCTTTGCGACTGAAAGAAAGAAAGACATGACCATCTTGGATGACAAGGGGGTGAGTAAATAATCAGGAAATGTTTATTCTGGAAGTGGGCTTCTCCTTTAAATCACTGCAGGGTTTTTCCTCGTCCTGGTGTTGGTGACTCCGGCGGAGCGGGAATCCTGCTCAATCATAGTCATAATACGACGCATTTAGCACAGATCTCCAGCTGCTGACACAGTCACATCTGACTAATTACCGCTCGGGCGTTTCAGACGTAATGAAGGCTTTTCTGTTAGTCAGCCCTAATTAAGCAGCGGGTTACTGAGCTACCGTGTCTAAATCATCTCACTAAACGATGGAACGCATTCGTGCTACAGATATAAATGATGCCTCAAATCATATCCGTTTTATAATATTAGAATTACTGTTTTGAGTCTTTTTTGTTTGTAACTCGAGTGTTTCATAATAAAAAGTGGATGATAATTTGGATTTACATTTTTTTTTTTTATTAGTATTAAAATATAATTAGTACTGAGTAACAGTTGTATTTTATAATTATATTAATTTTCACCATATATAATTAAATAAACATTGGCATTTAAACATTATTAAAACATAACTCTATCAATAATATAATAACATAACACATTAATATATAATAATTATATTTTATTATATGATTTAAATGTAATATTCATTATACTGTTTTTAAATATTACTGTATATTATAATGATTATTTTATTAAATAACTAGTTTTTAATAATTGTGTAGTTATAAAATATTATCATTAATATTATAAGTATATAGTTGTGGAAATATAATATTATAACGATATAATTAAATTGTAATATTAATTACGGTATTGTATTTTATAATAGGATTATAATTTTCGTTTTAGTTTTATAATAACTGCATTTTACAATGAAATATAGTTATGTTTTATTAATTCACTTAAAGTTTATTATAATAATTATTATATATGGTTATTGTTATAAAATAATATTAGAATTCATATTAGAATTATAGGATGATAACATATAATAATAATATAATTTAAGTGTAATATTAATTATAGTATCAGATTTTATAATACAATTATAAAATTAATTGTATTGTTTTATCATAACTTATATTTTATTAAATAAATATAGGTTTATTGCAATATATGGTTATTATAAAATATGATGATCATTATGATGAAATGCTATAGCAATATAATTTCATAATCATATTTTATAATATATTACAGATAAATATAAAATAATTATATTTTAATATTAATTATGATATATAGTTATTACTGTTAAAGTATTTTATTATATATTAAAACTATTATAATTAATGAGACGATATAATTTAATTTATATTAATTATAATATATTTTATAATAATAACTATATTAGAATTGTTTTAAAATAATATTTTTTTTCTATATGATTTAAAAATAATTTTATGATAATAATATAATTCAAAATAGCATCGCTTTTGATGGGAAGGAGTTTCATTTCATTGTCATCTGTGTCCATTTTCATCTTATGATTTTGAAGTGTTTATGTTTGTCTTGATGTTTCAGATTTGATTTCCATGTGCGTCTCATCAGCCTCTCGTCATGCATGTGTCCATGTGTGTGTGTGTGTGTCTCAGAGTCTCAGGAGGACAGTGTAGAGTCCCCTGACTCCTGCGTGACGGGGCCCATCCCTGAGATTAGTGTAACGGGGGTCGGCGGCGAGCGGCTGCTCAACGGAGAGGCTCTGCGCAGCAGGACGGAGGGGGAGGCGCTAGGGGGCGCCACAGAGGTGGGGGTCGACCCTAGAGGTCAAGAGGTCAGGAGGCAGAAGTCTGTGCGGAGGCACCTAGAGGACGGGACGCCCTCCGCGGGGCGGGTTCAGTTCTAGAGCCCCACCCACCCCTCCCCTCTCCCTCGGCCCAGAGGTACTTGTGTGGGCGGAGCTTCTTGATAAGCCTCTTAATTATTCATGAGATGTAAACGCTTCTGAGTATCACACAAACAGCCGTCTAGGGAATTTCTTTTTGGCTTTTGTGTTTTTCCTGAAGGAATACCTCTGGTTCAGAAGTACAGCTCTGTGGACGGCGCTAGTGACGGTGTTCATTACCACAGTAAATCAGCGTGTACAAAGTCGTATAATAAGGCCATTTATGGGATTTGAAAGCTGAAACGTGGCTTTTTTAGTTGTTTTTCTTAAGACTGATGAACTTCTGGTTAATGTGTATCTACGTGGAAAATTTCCTTGCAACAACAATATTTATATACATATTATTTTGTATGTACATAAATATACATAAACAATATGCAATATATACCCCTGGTTTCACAGACAAGGCTTAAGCTAGTCCCAGACTAAAATGCATGTTTGAGCGGTCTCAGCTGAAAAAATCATATCTTAAAATATGTCTGTGTCATTGTTCTGTGTCAAGATGCAATTTTTGTATTTTGCATTTTTGTAAAAGTTGCTTAAATATTTTAATTTAACTAAGGCCTAGTTCTGGCTTAAGCTAAGCCCCGTTTGTGAAACCGGGCCTGTGTATTGTAATTTATATTATTATTATTATTATTATTATTATTATTATTGTTGTTGTTAAAATATTATTTTATATAATTATATATATTTTGTAATATTAAATTATTATATATTGTAATTAGATATAATTATAATATATTACATATGTTGTTTCATATATCACTATATTATTATTTTATTGTGATTAAGT